CAAACACCCTAGCAACACCCTAGTACTACATAGAAAAACCCTAGCAAACATCTATAACACATATCACCTGCCTTGCAACCAAATGCCTAACAAAACCCTAACAACCAGAAAACCCTACAGACTGCCTAGAAACACCCTAGCAACAGCCTAGTACCCCATAGCAATGCCCTAGCAACCATCTATAACACCTATCACCTGCCTTGCAACCAACTGCCTAACAACACCCTAGCAACCACCCTGAAAACCCTACAACCTGCCTAGAAACACCCTAGCATCAGCCTAGTACCACATAGCAACGCCCTAGCAACCATTAGTGTGTGTTTGAATGATTCTGTGTGAACATGAACGTACCAGAAGGACGCAAAGACGACGAGTTTGATGCAGAGCAGAGGCTTCAGCTCTTCTCTCAAAGTTCGGTAGAACAGCAGCAGGCAGTACATCGCAAACTCAACACAAAACAATCAAATCAAACCAATCTTCCTTCGATGTTTTTGATCAATAGTTTCAGACATTTGACTATAGCATTTAATTATTCTGTTTTTTAATTATTATTAGCATGTGTCAGTATCAGTAATACATTGTTGTCTTTTCTTAGTGCCACAGTCTGTGACTGTAATATAAATTATAAATCAATATATATAATCAATATATACCAGCTGTGAGGCGTTGTGGACGGTAACGAGGTACATCCATGTGTTTCTGAAGCTGAAATTACTTTATTACTTCATCATAAACTCCACACAGCTGACACACACTACAGCACATAGACAGAGAAACTGGATGACTGATTATATATATATATATATATACAGTATATATATATATATATATATACTGTGTATATATATCCATCCATATACATGATATTATTGATTGTGATTGATCTAGATCAGTGGTTCTCAAAACATTGACTTAAAATTATTTAAAATAAGATAAAACAAGCATGAAAATAAGCTAAAACAACAAAAAAGTTTGAAGTTAAAACGTCTTAATGCTGGATTTGTTTCAGCTTTTGTCTTCTCCAGATGTTAACTGATGGACTGGAGTGCTGTGGATTACTTGTGGATTATTGTGATGTTTTTATCAGCTGTTTGGACTCTCATTCTGACGGCACCCATTCACTGCAGAGCATCCATTGCTGAGACACTGATGCAATGCTACATTTCTACAAACCTGATGAAGAAACAAACTCATCTACATCCTGGATAGTCTGAGGGTGAGTAAACTTTCAGCAAATGTTCATTTTTGGGTGAACTAGTCCATTAAGTCTGGGAAAAACTCCCTAAAATATATGAGAAATTTGAAAAAAAAAACAAATTATATTCTAGACAGATAGATAGATAGATAGATAGATAGATATTAACTGATGGACTGGAGTGCTGTGGATTACTTGTGGATTATTGTGATGTTTTTATCAGCTGTTTGGACTCTCATTCTGACGGCACCCATTCACTGCAGAGCATCCATTGCTGAGACACTGATGCAATGCTACATTTCTACAAACCTGATGAAGAAACAAACTCATCTACATCCTGGATAGTCTGAGGGTGAGTAAACTTTCAGCAAATGTTCATTTTTGGGTGAACTAGTCCATTAAGTCTGGGAAAAACTCCCTAAAATATATGAGAAATTTGAAAAAAAAAAAAAATTATATTCTAGACAGATAGATAGATAGATAGATAGATAGATAGACAGATAGATAGATAGAGCGGAGGAGGCTGCTCACGAACAGGGCATGATCACCGTATGAGCCAAATAACGAATCCTACTATTGAGAAGGCTTAGCTCATGAATATTAAACAGGAGAGGCTGGCGTTGCTTGGTAACCTGCTTGGAGCATCAGAGCACATACACCAGGGCAGGACTTACAGGGCCGGGAGCCCCTGGGCTTGAGGTTATGTTTGGGCCCCATACCTATACTACAAATGCCCTCAACTAGAACATTATTATGGAGTAACACAAAATACACAAAATTAAAATATGCTTTCAGGTTCATATACTGAATACAATTAATAGGCAACATGTCTAGCCTAGTCAAAGTTTAGATGTAATATTAAATAGTCACTATAGTACAATAAACAGGATGTGTTCTCTCAGTTGAGAGATCAAAACCCTGAAATAACACTGAGCAGAAATAAACAAAGAGATGTATTATTATGAAAATGTATTGTCATATTTGTGTCCTTTTATGTCAGATTCTTAAATTAAATAAATTCAATCTGAATAAAAGTGGCTATTAACAATAATGTTGGCTATTAACAATCAAAGGAAATCACTATAAACATAAGTTATGTTAAGTTTAAATACAACATTTTAATGAAGAAATGATTGCAAAAATGAAATAATGAGCTACTTTTTAAAATTTGAAACTACAACCGCCAGTAGGTGGCAGCAAATGACAGTCTTAATGAGTGAGTTGAATCTTTAAATCAACCGATTCGTTTAAAATGCTAATTCATTTAATTTAGCGCAGTTGAAATGCGGCTAATAATTTCTGACGTACACTAATGAAATATTCGTAATCCGAACCTTCGCAATTTTGTCTTCAACATTGGGTTGACGTAATCTAATTAATATTCATAGCTATAAGATTCGTTGCTTGCTATTTGGGCGGACGTCACATTACGTAATTAATATTCATGAGCTAAGCCTTCACTGTTCGTTTGCGATTTTCTGTTATGAACGTAACATTAGATATCGTCTTATATGCATAAATTGTTTTTGTCTAATAGTTGTAATCAATGCAGTAGATCTGACAAAATATGACAAATGAATAAAAAATTAATGTAAATGAGTATTTTATTAATAAACTAGGCCTATATTTAATAAAGGTTACTGTACTTTCCAACACAAAGCACATTCATATAAAACTGTGGCTGATTTATTCTCAGTAATTCAACCGATCTCATGTCAGCCCTCGTAATTCTATAGAAACTATTTCCTGGGGGAGTAAAAAAGCTTTCCACTTGAACCACTTCCCACTAATGGAAAGTCAATTCTGTGGGAATAAAACCATAATCCTGTCTCTGAAGCCGAGTTTCACAACCAACGGACCACACACTGTGACTTGGATAAACACACATCAAACATTTATTTACAACATCTTAAACAAAAAGAACATTTCATTGTACCTTCTCACAGCTGTTTTCAGAGCTACTGACTAAAACAACATGGCTGTAAATAGATTAGCAAAACCTAATCTAACCTTTCTGTTGCAAACAAGTTCATTGAGGATATAAGTGATGTGAGTAAACCGATTCTCCAATGCCATTTCTCCTATTCAAGCTGCTCTTGACATAGTTCCCAATGTAAATGGTTGTAAAATATAACATATTTTGTACATTGTTTACAGTAGTGACATGAGAAACTGAGCCTTTGGAAACTGAATCACATGAACCGCTTCGCAAAATGATTCACTGTTCCGAAGAAAATGGTCACTTCACTTCAAACTCACTTCAAACATGCATAAAGACGCCTTTTACAAACCTACTGAAAGTGTAATCTATTAAATATACGATACAAGTCATTAAATACCATCACGTATAAAGTTTATGTATAATATGTAGTCTTTTGTAAAAAAAAAAAAATCTAAAAAAAAACTAGCCAATCACAAATGCTCTCTGGCTGTCAGTCGTTTTGCGTTTTCAGGTTTGCTGACATCGGGTTGGCTGAGATGGCTGGAGGGCGGGGTTTTGTAGAGGGGGCGTGGTGTTGATGGGGAAGTATAAAGGCGTGTTATGTTTATTTTAAGCGCGCACAAATGCGCGAACTCTTTCAACTTGGGTGGATTCTAATCGGCTGTCAATGTTTTTAAAGCTCATCAGCTGGGAAAAAAAAACATTCTGAGAGTGATTCCAATGATATCGTTCCTCTTTGTCGTTATTATTATAAATGCAGTTGTGGACTTGATTATCAAAACTTTATAGTTAGTTATCTTCTTTGGTGTGAATGAGCCTTAATTATGTGGCTACCCAGCTAACAAAACTAACGTTCTAAGAACGTTTTGCTAACGCTCCCATTAATTAATAATGAACGTTCTCTAAACATGTTTCATGTTTTTTTTTCATTGGCTATGCGAATGTTAAGTTAACATTGCATTTTATAATTTTGCAAATATTATGTGAACATTACTTTTGAATGTTCTCTGAAACAAGCAGATAACATTTAAAAAACGTTAGACAAACATCCAACTAAAACGTTTAAAAAAAAAATGCTAACGTTTTGAGAACTTTGAGTTTGTCTAACATTTAAAAGTTAGATGAACGTCGAACTAAACTAAAATGTTTCAGAAAAAAAGGTTCATGAACGGTGTATAAATATTGTTTTTGTGCTAACATTTTGAGAACATTATTAGTTAGTCTAACTTTAAAAAAAAGCATTACATCAACATCCAACTAAAATATTTCAGGAAAAACGTTCAATGAACAATGTATATAGAATCTTTTTGTGCTAACATTTTGAGAATGTTGTTAGTTTTACTAACATTTAAAAAACGTTAGGTGAATGTCCAAATAAAACATTTAGTTAAAAAATGTTCCATGAATGACGTATAAATAACGTTTTTGTGGTAACGTTTTGAGAACATTATTAGTTTGTCTAACATTTAAGAAAACGTGAGAAGAATGTCCAGATAAAACGTTCCATGAACAATTTATAAACACTGTGCGTCGAAACATTTTGAAAACGTTAATAAAGAAAGATAAATGTTCTTTTAATGTTACAGGAAGAACGTTTATGAATAACTTTTAGCTTTGTTTTTAACTTTTTAATAATAACGTTTATTAAGAACCTTTCCAGAACGTTCTGAGCACATTCCCTGTCCGAAATCACATCTGAAAGCATGTTTAAAATGCATATTTATATAACAATATATGATGCATGCTAAAAAGATGCACTTTCATAATAGTAGGCACAATTAACCAGTGCAATATAGTGCAATTATAAATATATATGTTCATATTTGTGTAGTTAAGGTTGAAGCGGTGTGTGTGTGTGTGTGTGTGTGTGTGTGTGATTGAGGTCAGTTGTAGCTGTCCTTGCGCAGCGCGGTCCGGTCTGATAAGCCGTTCTGATCAGGGCTCTTGTACTGGAAGCTGGTCCCATTCAGGGGCACGACGCTGCTCAAGAGCGAGCCGGCCGGATAACACCAGCAACACAAACACGACTGACAGAGACAGAGAGACAGCAGAGATTAGATCCTCACAGCATCACTGCGCTCTGTTATCACACTCATTACAGCTCTCTGTACCCTGAAGCAGTTCTTGAACTTCTTGCTGACGAAGTAGAGGATTATGGGATTGATGCAGGAGTTGATGGTGGCCAGATTTATACTCAGGTAATCGAACACCAGCAAGAAACTGAGACACAAAAACAACAACACAAATAGGTGAAAATCAATAAACTGCACAAAATACACATTAAAGAATTGCATTTCTTATTTCATTGATGCATTACTATAAAATATGCTAGATTTTCTAATATTATGGCTTTGTGTGTGTTATTATAGTTAATTAAAACTAACGAAAAAAATTTTTTGTTGAAATAAAATATAAAAAAAATATTATTATAATAATTTTATTTTATTAAAATAAAAAGTATTTATATTTTAATTTTATTTTTAAAAATAAATAAAAATTAAACATATTAATAAAACTTAATTTTTAAAGTTAGCCTAAAGATTTTTTATTTGCTTTGGCTTTTGATTAAGCCTGAATATTGTGAATGATTTGCTTAATTTGTAAGCATTGTTGATGTTATTTTAACATTGTCATGTTCATGCTATTATAGTATTGTTTTAGTCCAACTTCAAAATGTAAGTTTTATTAGTAAGTTACATTTTTATTAATAAATTTGTTTTACTTGTATGTTTGTTAGAATATCTGTAATGTTATTTTAACATTGTTATGTTCATGCTCTTATAGCATTGCTTTAGTCCAACTTCAAAATGTAAGTTTTATTAATAAGTGTATTTTTTATTAATAAATATGGTTTTATTTGTATGTTTGTAAATATTTTATAATGTTATTTTCCACATTGTTATGTCATGCTCTTATGGTATTGTGTTAATCCAACTTTAAAAGTTAAGTTTTGTTAAGAAGTTTAATTTGTATTAATAAAAAAAAACATTATTCGTTTTATTTATTTTAGTACATCAAGTTAAACTAAATGAAAATGAGAAATGATGCCTCGGCAACTAGCTGAAATTAAATAAAAAATTAAAAAATAAAAGTTTCTTTATTTTTTTTTTTTTATATCAAGGTACAAAACAGCACTTTGGGTCATTCTTATGTATAAAATAAAGTTGAGTTGAGTAATAAAAACTATACATACATATTTAAATTAAAAACTATTAATAATAACAAAAACACAAAAATTACTACAATTTTACCTAAACTTAAAATGAAAACTACATGAAAATATAAGTAAATTCAAAATTGTAATAAAATCTATAATAGTGTCTATATGATTCTACAGTAACACTGTTGTGCGTGTGTGTGCGTGTGTGTGTGTGCGAGTGTGTGTGAGTGTGTGTGTGTGTGTGCATGTTTATGTGGTTTATGAGGACACAAATTTGTATAATAACATGGGTATACACACACACACACACACACAGACACACACGCACACACACGCACACAGACACACACAGACACACACACGTATGTTAGTAAATGATGGTCTCGGCTGGTTCATTTCAGCGTTCAGTGTTCGGTTCTTCACCTGTTTGAGGTGTTCGCTCAGGGAAAACTTCAGGCTGCCCTTCCTGTTGCTGAGCATCTCACAGGTCATGAGCGTGTAGAAGACGACCGTACAAACCAGCGGCACGCAGAAATAAAAGCCAAACAACCACCAGACCTTCACGTCCCTGTAGAGCTACACACACACACACACACATCGTCAACACACACAAAAATGCCACATTTTATATGTAAATATAAATGCAATAAAACATTGATGGAGATGCCACATTTAGTTACTTGTTTTAATTATGAAAATACAGCTAATTAAAATGTTTTACAAATAATATTTAGTATAGTTAGTATAGTTATATAAGTATAGTTATATAATACATATATGTATATTTAAAAAATATAAAATGTATAGAACACCAATATAAAATCGTATTTAATCTTATTTATATATTCTTATTTATTATATTATGTTTATATAATAAATATATTCATATAATAATTATATATTTATTTATTTATAAATATAACAAGTTAACAATTAAAAAAATATTATACTTACATAATCTAAATAAATGTTTTATATTGATATTATTTTACATT